TTTGCATGTAATGAGTCTATCTCATATATTAGTTTCACCTTTTAAGTTGCATTACTGAAATAAATGAACTTTTGCACAATATTATAATTTTTTGAGTTTCATCTGTATTTTAATTTTGTACTAGCAATGCAAGCTGTCTTGAGCAGTGGTGAAATTCATTTTTTTTACTCCCGCTTCTGTGGGCGTGGCTTGCTGAGTCTGGCAGGGGAAGGATTTTACAAAATCTCCATTCCCACCCCACTCTGGGGCCAGCCAGATGTGGTATTTGCAAACTACTCCAAACTACTCAAAATTTCTGCTACCAGTTCTCCAGAACCTGCTGAATTTCATCCTTGGTCTTGAGATTATACATACTATACTGAAGAATGAAGTATAGAAACATGTACACACTGATGTGAAATAAGATGAGGTTTGGATGGAAATTAGAAAGTGAACTTTTTAATCAATCATTAATTCTTAAATTTGGGGAATGTTGCATGTATTTTAAATATGTTCCTTCATGACAGTGAATTAGGAATGCATTTGAGAATTTATATATTAGCTCTTATTGTTAAAGAATTGGATTAAGAATGAAGCATCAGTTTTTTACTATTTGCCTTTGTAACTAAGCTTCACATTAATACTCGTTTTATCTATAAATGAGTATAGTAAATGGTAGCATGTATTAAAGTTTAATAAATGTTGCTGAGGAGTCAGGCAGCCTCTGAATGAAAATAATAATTGAATGATAATACCATCAACATTCATTTCTCTTCATTCCTCTCACCCCCTCCTTTTTTTTACAGTCCTTCCCAGAAAAGAATGCAGATGGTTACAAAAATCTCTTTCTTTGCCATGTTTGTCATGTACTTTTTAACTGCTATTTTTGGCTATTTGACATTTTATGGTATGTATGTATTCAGTTTTCCCTAACATACATGATATTTTAGGTAACTTCTTCTTGACTCATAATACTTTTTAAAGCAAGCAACTGAGGCCAATAAAGATTACCCTATAATTCAAACATTATCACAGTCAAACATGAATTTTATAAAATGTGTATATTGCCACTTTCTTTCTTCTTTGTAAAGAAAATAACATCCAGATCAGGAGGCCTCATGCTTAATTTGAAAAGGGCATTTTCTTATTTGATGATGCTGTTCTGCTGCTGGACTGGACTGTGGTCACATGATCTTCATTTTAAATATTACATGGCAGTTTCTCAGCCAGTCTAGCAATCTTCTACCACCACCACCACCAGCAACCACTTTAAGGGAAGGGGAAAAGCCTTAGCCACCCAGTGCCACCTCAAACCGCAAGATGAGTGGCATATAAATTTGAGAAATGAAATTGAATAAAAATTAGTAAATTTGATTTTGATACATGAAGGAAGGAAAGAAAAAAGGAAGGCAGGAAGGGAAGCAGAACAGGAGCCCTGTAAGCCCTTCCCAGTCCATGCCACTCTCTTCTGTGTTCCCCCAACCTTTGCCACACCTCTGCATCCCTTCCCTGACCTATGCTGCATCCTCCATGTCACACTTTTTGTAACCTGCACCATCCCTTATTAGCACCTTGTCTGACCAATGTAGCATCTTTTGTACAACTACACACACCTTCTCCAACCCATGTCCTTTCATGCACATTGCCCAACCCATGCAGCACCTCCTGGGCACTCTTATACACTCTTCCTGTAACCCCACTCATTATCTCTTGATCTGCATATCACACTCTACACACTCACAAGCACCTTCAAGCATTACCCACATCCTCCCAGGTGCTATCCCCAACAGGTGCAGTACATCTTACGCAACTTTGTGACCCTATGCACTTTCTTCATCCACACACCCCTCCGCACCCTATCCAATCTACACAACACCTCACATTTTGCACATTTCTTCACCTCTCAAGAACCCACACATTTTGCCCGCCCACACACACCATGAGCAACTTGGCCAAGGAGAGAGAGCACAGCAGAAGCAGTCTCGAAGAGGAGGTAAGTGCAGCTGGGTGCCCCCTTGGGAAAGTGTGGCTGGCTGGGCTGTAGGGCCCCAGTGCCCTGGGAGCTCAAGAGTAGGCTGGCACTTGCCCTCCGCTGTTCGGAGCTCCAACCAGCCTGCAGTGCCCTCCAGGGGTTCTCCTTATGGCCTGAGAGGGACAGCGAGGCTCCTGTGGTGGACAAGGGTTTGGTGCTTGCCTTGGTCTTGCCTTCCTCTTCTGAAGACAGTGGATCCCCCCGAGCCCTACTTGGGCCACCACAGGCACCCCCCAGTGTGAGCAACATTGAGCTGTCCATAGCCAACCCAGTCATGCCCACCCAGCCCCTCAAGGTGAACCACAACTCTGATGTGGCCCTCAATGAAATTGAGTTTGACACCCCTGATATAGAATATTGTAATGCCAATCACCCAAACTTTGATTTAAATTTGAAATTCGGATCAGAAAATTGATTTGAGTTAGAAAATCATACAGATTCTCACTTCTGAGTCAATTAAGAAAAAGCTCATAACCACAAAGATTCATTGAAAATTGAATTACTGAGGCCAAGTATCCATTAGCAGATACAAATGGACACAGTTTGATGTGCTAAACCATTCTGACAATTCAATTTGAAAGGGTGATTCACCAGCCTCATTTCAAAAGATTAAATCACAAGTTGCTTGAGATGTTTTTTTTTACTAAATGGAAGCTTGTATTAATTATCTGACTGTTATAACAGTTCTATCATTGTTTTCCCTCCAGAATCTGTACAATCAGATTTGCTTCACAAATACCAGAATAAAGATGACATCCTTGTCTTAACTGTTCGTGTTGCCGTCATTATTGCAGTCATACTTACAGTCCCTGTGTTATTTTTCACTGTAAGTTGGAATTTTCTGTCCATTTGTTAATAGATTGATAGTTCCTGAATACAAGAATTGAATTGCTTCCTTATTTAGTTTTTGTTTTGGCAAGAATAGATTGCAAGTTAACATTGCCCCAGCCTCCTAAATTCCAAATATTTGCGATATTTTCTCAAAAAAAGTATGATTAAGAACTGTCCATTTCTGCTTTTATTAAACTGATTGACATGTACTTCTCAATTGTGTCTAATAAATAATGTACTTATTAATCATGCTGCAAAAATAACGTTTCCTTTCTGAGCCATACTATTTTCCCATTTACTCCATGAAGTTCTATTGATGGGCTGTTTTGGTTAATGAATATTATTTGATACACAGCTAACTCCGTCTGCATTACAATTGTTTGTATCTTTCCTTTTCCTTCCTCTGCTCCTTGTTGTTGTCTCATAGGTAGGTACTCTGAAGGCTAGAATATTTAAAGTGATTTGAAATGTTGAAGTATTCTATTTGTCTTTACTCTAACATAAATAATTGCTGGTGCTCCTTGTCAGTGGTTTAATATTAAAACAGGAACATTGATATTAAGTGATATTGTTCAGCCTTTCATGAAGCCAGGCCGTATTAGGGCATAAATTTCATCATTCCTGCATATTGCTCATTGATGAGCAGTATAAAAGTGATGTAAATTATAGTACAGGTAATCCCTGGGTTATGAATGTTCCCTTAGCGAATGTTCAAAGTTATGTGATAAGCTCCCTTTAGTGTTTACGAACAAGTCCTGAAATTATGAATATTGCAGCAACACGGCAGAAAAACATCCTGAAAGAGAAGACTGGAAGTGCCAGAGACAGAAAGTATCATGGACCTCAAGCCGAGCTGAACCAATACTTGTGAACTTCTTAATTGTATGTATAAATCCTTAGCTCCATTGTAAAGAACTCCTTCTGCTGATTCCTTGCTAAAAGTTCTATAAAAATGGCGCCGAGCTGTGTAGGAGGGGCGTGCCTCGGGTANGGGGGCGATATGCTGACTCTGTAAACCGCTTAGAGAGGGCTGAAAGCCCTATGAAGCGGTATATAAGTCTAACTGCTATTGCTATTGCTATAATCGTCTTAGTGGCTCTTCTTTGCACTTTTTCCAATGGCAATCAAAAGTTGCTTTCCCAGTGGCATAGAAATACAGGTACTCCTTGACTTACGACCATTTGTTTAGTGACTGATGCTGGGGAAAAAAAGTAACTGATTATTGATCCTTGCACTTAGCAACAATGCCAGCATCCCTGCAAACCAAAAAAATTAAAAAAAATTGGAGTCCTTGGCAACCAGCATGTATTGGTAATGGTTGCAGCATGCCAGGGTGACATGATCCCCATTTATAACCTTCCCAGGGTGCTTCTGATGAGCAATATTGACACCACCCCCACCCCGACCCCCCAATCTTGATCTTACTTCAGTCCTCCAGACAGGACAATATTGTCCATCAAGAAGGTGGGCGAACCAGTGTGTAAGATCAGGACAAGCTGTGTGAAACACAACCCTTATCCTCCACCAGAGGGCAGACCAACCAAGAAGAAACATCTGAGATGCTTACCTGGGCCTTTGCCTCTCTCTATCTCAATTTAAGGTTGGTCCTTGTCTTTTTTGAAAACACCAATAAAATAAAAAGGAAGAAAAGACTCACAACCCCCTTGTGTTGTCCTACCATAGGACACTGTCCCAGAGCAGGCCCAATCTCTTGTGCTCATCTTAGCTATGAGTAGGCGCTCCAAAGATGGGTTATAATGGACAGATTTCTCCTACTGTGTTTGTCTGAAAATAAGACCAGGTCTTATATTAATTTTTGCTCCAAAAAAAAAACACGCATCAAGGCTTCCTTTCTAGTTAGGTCTTATTTTTGGGGAACTATGGTACTAAATGCATCTGGCTGACAATCTTAACTGGGGCTTATTTGAGGGTAAGGCAGAATAGAATAGAATAGAATAGAATTCTTTATTGGCCAACTGTGATTGGACACACAAGGAATTTGTCTTTGGTGCAGATGCTCTCAGTGCACATAAAGAAAAATAGAATACATTCATCAAGAATCATAAGATACATCACTTAGTGATAGTCATAACTTACTAATAAGCAATCAAATTATACTAGGAAACAATCAATATAAATCGTAAGGATGCAAGCAACAAAGTTACAGTCACAAGTGGGAGGAGATGGTTGATAGGAATGATGAGAAGATCAATAGTAATTGTAATGCAGACTAAAACAATGAAAAAGTATTATTTCTTATTTTTACCTGTGGCTAGATATTGGATAGCCACTACATATT